AAAAAAAAAAAAAAAAGACTTAGTTACAGACGGGAATATAAATGTTATCAGTCGTGGAAATCTAAGAGTACAGCTTTGAAAAGTTTGGAGGTACAGAGGTTTGAGGCTGCAATGAGCTATGATTGCACCAGAGGTAATCCAGCCTGGGCAACAGAGGGAGGCCTCATTTCTAAAGAAATATGGAGGTAGAAGCAGAGGTGGGGAGTTCAAGGGAAGTAGGAGTTTCTCCTATCATGAAATGGAGAACCAAGAGGTGCTGTCTATATTTAATAGAACTAAAAACAAAAGTTTAAGGATATTAAAGTTAACTAAAGTGAACAATAGGACTAAAAATTGTGGTGTTAACTACCATGTGCACCTTAGGGAGGTGAATTAAGCTGACTTTTTATTAGTCCTTGCAGGAGTCAATGTCACAAAATAGCAGCTTAATCCTATTCATACAGTTGAAGATCAGGAGAATTTAAAACCACAAAGGTCAAAGTGGTTGCCCTTTGGAAGTGGGACTGAGGCTGGGGAGATAAAAAGCAAGGAACAATTGCTTTTTGTTGTAGGGCTTCCTCTACTCTTTTTTTGGTTTGTTTTGTTTTTTTTTTCCTTTGACAAAACAAAAACCAAACATAACAATCCTGGTGAGGGTCACAGATCATCTATTGTAATGCCTGGAAATATATTCAGTGAGTCATCTTGTAGCTCTTAAACCACAGTTAAAAAGTATAAGAAAGTCTATAACTGTAGACTACAAAGCAGTTAATACAGAATGAAAACTCCCAGTCATCTCAGGAGAAGTGGTGTTTTATTTCTGGTTGCTGCCAGAAATATTTCTGTATATATCCAGAAGCTCTCCTGGCTGGGTATCCACAGCTTGGCAACAGCTGCATAAAAAGGGGGCCAGACCTCTCACCATCCCTTCTCCCCTACCCTCACCAGTCTATTCTTACTGAGTTACAGGTTGAATTGCATCCCCTGCAAAATACATGCTGGAGTCCTAATGTGCAGTACCTCAGAATGTGATCTTATTTGGAAATAGGGTTGTTGCAGATGTAATTAGTTAAGATGAGGCCACACTGGGTTAGGGTGGTCCCTCAATCTGATATGACTGGTGTCCTTATACGAGGGGAAATTTACATTCAGAGACGGCACATAAAGGAAAGGCATTGTGAGGGAGAAGAAGGCCATCTACAAGTCAAGTATAGAAGCCTGGAACAGATCTTTTCCTTCCAGCCCTCAGAAGAAACAACACTGTCAACACCTTTATTTTGGACCTCTAGCCTCCAGAAGTATGAGATAATAAATTTGTTTAAACCATTCATTTAGCTTGTGGGACTTTGTTACAGCAGCCCTGGCAAACTAATACACTGATGGAACAAGGGAAAGAGTCCCTTTCATGACTGCCAACATTGGGTGGGAAAGAAAAGCCTTAGGCATCTTTGTCATCTTCTCCCCTGATGCTGTTACAAATTTAATCTGATAAAAATCTGTGTCTGTTGCTCAGTTCTCAAGAGCAGCATTCAGAGTACAGGTATGGGTATGGGTAGTACTGTTTTTTTGTTTGTTTGTTTTTTGAGACGGAGTTTCGCTCTGTCGCCCAGGCTGGAGTGCAGTGGCACGATCTCAGTTCACTGCAAGCTCCGCCTCCCAGGTTCAAATGATTCTCGTGCCTCAGCCTCCCAAGTAGTTGGGGTTACAGGTGCCAGCCACCACGTCTGGCTAATTTTTGTATTTTTAGTAGAGACAGGGTTTCACCATCTAGGCCATGGCTGGTCACGAACTCCTGACCTCAGGGGATCTGCCTACCTCGGCCTCCCAAAGTGCTGGGATTACAGGCGTGAGCCACCGTGCCTGGCCTTGTTTGTTTTTAATTGAAACTAGTCTTTGTATAGAGTACAAAGAAAGTGCAGATGTTGCAAATGTTGATTTGTAGCATTTCCCTTCTCTTATCACCACACTACAGAATAGTTGTACATTAACTCTGACATTGTGGAAGGAAGGCAATTGGAGCTGGCCAGAGCAAAGTCATTTTGTTCCTGAATGCCATTTTACAACTGCCGAACTGTAGAATGTACTTGCTGATGTTGCAGACAAAATTGCTGCCACTTATGAAAAGGACTTTGCTGAGGACAGAACTTTTCTCAAATCTCTTCAT